TAGTCCTAGCTACTCAGGAGGCTGAGGCAAGAGAATTTCTCAAGCCAAAGAGTTGGAGATTGCTGTGAGCTGTGATGCCATAGCACTCTACCGAGGGCTACAAAATGAAATTCTGTCTCAAAATTAATTAATTAATTAATTAATTAAATTTAAAAAAGAAATGAAAGGGCATTTGTGGCTCAAAGGAGTAGGGCGCCAGTCCCATATATAGGAGGTGGTGGGTTCAAACCTTGCCCTGGCCAAAAAACAAAAAACAAAAAACAAAAAAAATAAAAGAAAAGAAATTTTAAAAATTAAAAAAATAAGAAATAAAATAAAATTTAAAAAAAGAAATGAAAATAAATTTTAAAAAGTAAGAAGAGGTCTCTTACACCTCAGCTCTATCCTAGGTGGTGATCTACAGTTTGGGGGTTGCTTATGAGGAAAGGGCGCTGCTAGGGGAGGGGATAGGGGTAGAAGAAAGGGAGCCTGTAGTCTAGCTACTTGGGAAGCTGAGGCAGGAGGATCACTTTAAGCTCAGGAGTTTGAAGTTAGAGTGAGTTGTGATCAGGCCACTGCACTCTAGCATGGGGGACAGAGCCAGACTCTTTCTCTTCAAAAAACAAAAAACCCACGTGGGATCTCTATTCTTAGTAGTCAGAGGAGAGAAGTCAACATTACTGCCCTCAGAGATCATCCATTCTAATGGGAGAGTGCCTATTTTTATAGAGTCCTTAGTCTGATGGGAGAATACACAGCCCCTCTCTTCTCAGTGAGCACCCCCCTCCCCGCATCTGATGGGGGGCAGAAAAGACACATTTAGGGAATCAGTGAAATATGAAACATTCCCCATTTCCTAGTGGTTGGAGTAGGATGGACTTAGAAATTATGTGGACAAATAGTAGAAGGTAGGGCTACCTAAGATAGGTTTCTGGAGGAGATGGTAGCTGGGTCCTAGTCAGATAAGGCTTTGAGATTGAATGAGGAAATTTGGTTCATTCTTAGGGGCAGTCTGCCATCCCATCTGGTCCCTCATACAGGAAGAAAGGTTCTAGATCCATCCTGATTCAGCATAAACTGTTTTCTTTCCCATTCTTCCCACCGTTCAAGCACTAACTTCCGGGCATATGTATGGAGGACCCTCCCTACAAGGTACCATAGGGAACTATAGGGAAGTAGGCTATCCAGTGGGGTCACCAGGCGTCTTCCACACAATTCTCTCCTTCCAAAACTGAGCTTTGGAAAATTAGAGACCAATCCCCACCTCCCACTCCTATACACATACACACATACACACTCAACAATCACATTCACACACACACATTCAATCAGGTAGCTTGCACAGAGGGGAAGAACCTGTTCCTCTGGACACAGGTCTGAGCTCTGGAGTCACCACACCATCCCTTCCCCAAAGGCTTTCAGAAGAGCACTGATGACTTTTGACCCTTCCAAGGTAGAGAGGGAGGCCGGTGAACTCACAGGACTGGAGGGAAGGAGAAAGAGAAAGAAAGGGTGCCCCAGCCCTGGGGAAGGTACAGAGAAGGGAGTAAGAACAGAAGAGCTGCACACACAGGTTGGCAGGGCTGCTGAGCAGGAAGCGCAAGAAAGCGATCAGAGGGGGGCCAGGAAAGCAGCAGAGGAGACAGAGGACTCCTGTGGCCCTGAGTGAAGCCCCAAGGGTGGAGTTCAAGGACAGCAGGGCAGGCAAGAGCAAGGGGGACCTGCAAAAGGAGAAAGAGACCAAGAGAGAAGTGCAGCTGGGAAAGGCCGGGAAAGGATGGACGGGAAAGGAGGATGGGGGTGGGGAGGTAGTTGTGGAGCTAGAGTAGCGATGCCCCTTCCCTTAGGGCTAGCCTTCCTCTGGCACCAGACTTGGGGAAGTCTGCAGGAGTGAATCGCCCCTCAAAACACTTGGAGATGGGGTGAGGATATGGGGACAGGGCACCTACTCCACTCCCCGGGCTTCTTTTCCCAATCACAGCCCAGTAGCTAGTTTCTCTCCATCAGTCCAACTCCGCCTCGAGCAAGAAAGAGTTAAGCCCTCTCCCCCCTCCCCCCACAGCAGCTTTTTATTAATTTCTCTGGGCATCCTGCTGGAGGGAGGGGATTAGGGACACAAATCCTATCTCCGCCCCCTCCCCTGACAGCCCAGCACCCCAGTGCCGGGTGGTCCCCCTGGGGATAGGAGAAGAAAGGCCCAAGTCCGTTGGCCCCATCCAACCCCACTCAGGGTCCCAACGCAAGCCCGAGTGGCCCCCAGCCCTGCCACCCGGTCCGCTCCAGGGGGCCTGGCCCCTCACCTCCAGCCTCGGTCATCTTCAGTGTCCGGCGCCCCGGGAACCCCTCAGGCCCATGGTGCTCGAGGCGGGGGCCGGGCGGGAGAGGGGCGGGGGCACCGTCACCCCGGCCGCGGGGGACTCCGGGCTGGCTCCAGCTGCTCCATCCCGGGGGTCGGATAGGGGTCGGTGGGGAGGGTCCGGGAGCCGAAGGGAAAGGAAGGCGGGGGGGAGGGTGTGAAGAGAGGAAGAAGGTTTGCTGGAAGCAGGAGGCGCGGGCGGGGCTGGACGGGGAGACCTGACGGGAGGATGCTCCGTGTGTGCGTGCGTGTGCGTGTGTGTGTGTGTGTGTGTGTGTGTGAGAGAGAGAGAGAGAGAGAGAGAGAGAGAGAAGAGCGGGAGAGAGGAGCGCCACCTCCCGCCCCGCCCCCGCCCGCCAGGCCTGGCCGTATGCGGGGCCCCCAGCCGGGCTGGCAGACTCTCACAGTGTCGCGTCAGCTGGGGTCCGCGGAGGTCCCTGAGAGAAGGGGCAATGCAGGGGGCGCGTGGCGGGGAGGCCCGGCGCCCCGGAGACAAAGAGCGGGAGGGAAGGAGGGAGGGGCGGAGGCGGCGGGAGGACGCAGTGGGAGGAGGCGGCCGGCGCGGCGCCCGGCCGGGGGATCTTAGTTGTCTGTACTTCTCTGCCCGCGGATACGCGGAACCCCCGAGTTGGCGCGGGTGGGAGCGGCTGGGGAGATCACCCCGCCATGGGACCCGTGGGGCTTCCTTCTGCCCTGTCAGGCCTGTGACAGCTTTTCGTTCATTCATTCATTCATTCATTCAACAAACGTCCACCTAACAGCCGGGGTGCCCAGGCTAGAGGGGCTCGCTGTGCTGTCAGGAACACAGATGAGTGGGGCCGGTGCTGTGGGCCCGTTCATAGAGGACACTTCAGTGTGGGCAGAGAAGACACACCAAGGAGGCCTGGCCTGCCAGAGGCCGGGTTGAGGCAGGGGTAGAGTGGGCAGGGAGGATTTGCTTGGGGTGGGGTGATGTGTTGGCGACCCCTACAGGCCAGGGTACGGGGAAGTGCCAGAGGGACATGAGGGTGGGTGGGCAAGAGAATGAGAAGAGAGAAATGGGGGGGCTTGCACTTTATTCTACTAGCCACAGGGGAGGAGGGAAGTAATGGAGGAGGAAGGGACTCAGATTTTCGTTTAGGAAGCTCCCTGGCTCTTCAGAAGAGTTAATGAATTTCAGAAAGCAGCCTGAAGCCAGGAAACCGCTCAGGAAACTGTTGAGAGATAGTGGCAGCGGGCATGAAGATGAAAGATCATGTGGAGAACTATTCAGGATGTCAAAATGAAGAAAGTGACAGGATTTGGGGGACTGGCTGAACTTGAGGCTGGGAGCCCTGGAGCAGAGTGGGCATGGAGAAGGATGAGATCAGACTTGGACCTGCTGAGCTGGAGGTGGTGGCAGGTCAGCCAGGGGAGATACTGTGAGAAGCAACAACTAGCTGCCATACGGTGCAGCTTGGGGTGTGCCAGGCACTCCCCAATTATTTATTGTCACCCTCACAATAAACCCACAAAGTAAGTGTTTCTGTTACCCACTACCTCAGAGTAAAGAAACTTAAAGGAAGCAAAGTGTTTGTTTGGGAACAAGTGAGGAAGCTGGACAAGGGGCCCAGCATGGAGAGATGCAGAGTCTGTGGAGCTAGAGTTCCCGGATGGTTCACAGGACATTCTGCAGTCCAAAGCACTGTGGCAAGTGGTATGTTGAGCCAAAATGATCTTAGCAAAGATGAGTGGGGACAGAATTAAGGGCTAAGGGCTTCCGAGGAGATCTGTGAGAGTTTGGGGGTCTCTGGGTATCTTTAGAATCTGCCAGCAGTCACAAGATGCCAGCTAGATTGTGGGGATCTGAGAAGGGATTGGTGTCTCTGATGATAGCCTGTAAGGGCTATGTTGGGGTCTTTAAAGAGGATGTGGTTTGCAGGCATCTAATAAGATCTGGGTGGTGGGCTATGTGGGGTGGTTGATTACACAGCTCCTATAGTTCTAAAGAGCTGAGGAGATGGGGTATGTAAGGTCAGTGCTGGGGACAAGGGGAATGTATGGGAGGGCATCTGCTAGGCTATTGGACCTGGGAGGACCCCCTGCACCCAGGCAGTCCTAAACTTCTGGGACATGTGAAGATCCTCCTTATCTGATTTCTTTCCTTTATGGCAAGTGAACCTACTCAGACTGCAAAAACTGGGCAGGTGATGGGGGTGGGGAAAGGACTTAGGTGACAAGTCTCACATAAGCCTTCCTCCAGCCAGGTGACACAGCCTCAAACATGGACATGCTGTATATCATGGGCAAGTCACACCTTAGGCCTGAAAACTCAAAGGGAAGTCATATACAACACCCCCCGGCCGCATAACTCAGGCTAAACACAATGGGGATACTTGGCTCACCTTTTGGAACATGCCATGTATAGGCCCCTCCCTCACCTAATACACAGGACAGCTGGGGACAGTGGGACCACACCCTGGATGCTTAGCCTGTGGGCCTAGCAGAAACCTCACCATAACCCTCACGCCTGCCAGGAAGGTCCAGCCATTTCACTCCTTGGCACATCTTAGCTAGCTTTGCTTTCCTTTTTCTTGAGACAGTTTCATTATGTTGCCCTCAGTACAGTGCTGTGCATCACAGCTCATAGCAACTGCAAACTCTTGGGTTTAAGTAATCCTCTTGCCTCAGCCTCCCACAACTATAGGGGAGTTGGCTTTTTGTTGTTGTTGTTGCAGTTGTCATTGTTGTTTAGCAGTCCTGGGTCAGGTTCAAACCCGCCAGCCTTGATGTATGTGGCTGGCACCCTGAACTACGGGCACTGAACCCTAAGCTAGGTTTTTAGTGACTTTTAACTCTGGAGCTACAACCTGTGGTTTGGTAGTCTCTGATCTTGTGACTCAGCTACCTAGATCTGTCTTCAGCATCCTCAGGGTTCCTGAAGTATTCTAAGGATGATCCATTCTAAGGAGATGCTGCCATGGGAGGCACAATCACCATCCTCAGGTTTCTAGGTCACCCTTAGGTGGGTGGCAGGAGCACATGGCCCCAAGGTGTACAACTAGGATTTTTTTTTGAGACAGAGTCT